CACATAGACTTTCTGTGTGATCTTAATGCCATTTTAGCATTGCATTGTTCTGACCACATTCAAAAAGTTTGTCACTAATATTCCATAGGTCGTACTTTCTTTTCCCCCAAGAAAGTCCCTATGATACCTTCAGCAAGTCTACATCATTGTCAGGACTGTCACTGACATGTGCCTACTGGCCGAGTGCTCCTAATTCTACCAAGGCTATACCTGCACTGGCTTTTGTAATTGCTGTTCCTTCTGCCTGTAATAGTCTCCCTGCGAAAGGTTGAGTGGCTTACTCCTCATCTAAGTCTCAACTCAAATATTCTGCTCTCAGAGAGGTTGCCTTTGACGGCCCTATCTAGCTAACATTGCCCCCGCAGCAACATTCACTGTTATAACATCCTTTAGTTTCTTCATAGCACCAAATACTACTGAAATTGTCCTATTTGCTTGTTAAGTTTCTATCTCCCCAACTCGAATATTTATCTCTTCGAGAGCAGAGATCTTATTTGTCTTAGTTACCGCTCTCTTCTCAATTCCTAAAATAGTGTTGGGCACTGAATTAGCATTTATTCAGTTAATTATTTCTTGTAAATTCATGTTATATCTGGTAGAACTACGTCCACTTCATTACTTTTTCTCACCATCTCTGGCCTTACACAGATACGTGAATTAATAAAAATAATTTTTTTGATTCTTAATATTTGTTAATAGAAAACTTAGAAAATATAGAACAGTATAAGGAAGAAAGCAAGAAAGTGACCACATGCCCACAACTCAGAGAATGGCATGATTAATATGTGGTTCCTTCTAGTATTTTATTCTAAGTTTATATGTGCATAACTAAGGGTTCTGCACCCAGTCCCACCATGTGTGTGTCAGGTAGGGTTTCCTACACCAGCAAGCAATGTTTGAACATCAGCTAGGTATACTACCATTCAACTCAATTCTGACGTAGGAACATTTGGGATAATGCAAGAGAACTCCCTTAGAAGGTTGAAGGTAGCTCCAAGGACCACAGCATACAAGGCAGTGAGGGTGAGTGGCTACCATGGATGAGAATTGGGGCCTAATCAAAGGATATTTCTACCCTAGTGTAGAGACCCTTGCAATGTCTGCCTGGAAGGAATCCAGAATTGCCACAGACTGATGCTATCTGTATCCCATTCTTCTTTCTGAATGAGAGCGTTTATGGTGATCTTGTTCCTACTCTACCATTATATATTAGGTATGGAGCGGGGTGAGGCACAGATATTTTATTTAGTTCATATGTCTCCGTATCGAGAGAAGATACTTCCAGGCTCAACTATTGTGAGATCGTGGACTTGGAACTTGATACCGTGATAGGGTAGAACTTTGGGGAGGTAGGATAGGACTTCTGAGATTATTTCTCTGGAAGAGAGTATGCATATACCATGTGGGAGGAAAGGTAAACTTAATGTCTAATAATCAGAAGGGCTGAGGGAGGCAGTCACTAGTCTTATATGCTCATGCTTCACCCTTTGGGGCACTCTCACCCCCTAATGGTTGGGTGGGGCATGCGACTAGTTTTAGCAACTGAGTTGTAAACATCGTTATGTAAATTACTTCTAGGCCAGAACATTTAAACAATCAATTGCCATTGTGAGTTCCTCTAATGTACTCTTTCCAAAAGAGTGGCAACCCTCAGCCTGGGTTTATGAGTAACAACGAGAAGCAAATTCCCCTGCAATCTGTGATTGACCAGTAACATCAATAAGAAATAAATCTTTTGTTTTAAGTCACTATGATTTGGAGGAGTCATATGTAAATGCAGACTAATCAGCCAATCATGAATAAAATACCTATTGTCTGCCTCTTGCATTAGAAATTAGGCTTAGTTAGGACCAAAATCTTGTCTATTTCGCTGTAAGTTATGTGTCAGATATTTATCACAGCATAGTAGGTGCTAAATCAATATTTCGTGAATTAATGAAGGGGTGACTTCTCTTAGCATAGTTAAAATTTTGTTCTAGTAACAGCTTCCTTCTGACTATAATTTCCATATCAGTCAAGATCAGCTCAGTGTTGCTGCAGTAATAAACACCAAAACCTCAGTGTCCTGAAACAGCAAAAGTTTATTCTTTTATTATAGATCTATTATGGGATGGCAAGGGAACTCCGCTCACTCCAGTCCCTCAGGAACCCAAGCTGACTGGAGCCACTGCCACTGTCTTGAAAGTTGCTGGTTGCCATAGCAGAGGGATTAAAGAGCTCCGAAGGGTCTTGCATTGGTAAGCCTAGAAGTGACTCATATTACTTCTGCTCATAACTAATAGGCCAAAATTAGCAACATGACACACTTGAACCACAAGGAAGCCAGGAAGATCAGGCGGACAAAAGGAAATATTTGTTGAACATCATGAATGTCTAACAAAATAGGTAAACAAAAAAGTAATGAAAATATCTGTGATAAATTAGGAGAAAGGAGGAATAAAACTGGGCTATATGGTGGAAGCAGTTGAGAAACCTACTTAAAGTAGGTGGTCTAGGAGGCCTCTCTGAAGAGGTGACATTTGCATTAAGACCTCAAAGGTCAGAAGGAGTGACAAGAATTAAAAGAACATTCCAGACATTAAACAAGTATAATGACCCTAGGGATGGAATGAGCTTGTTTTTTCCTGAAACTGGCAGAAGATGAGATCTGTGGAGACTCTAGAAGCAATGGAAGTGGGAGGAGCACATCAGGAGATAGAGATGTGAGGGTCAGATCACAGAGTAGCCTGAAGGCCCTAACAAATAATCAGGATTTTCTCTCAAATGCAATAGGAACCCAATAGGAAAGGTCTTAGGACAAGGAGTGCACGTTTGATTTGTGTTTTAAAAAGGTGACTCTGGCTATGTGGGAAATTACCGGGAAAAGGGTAAAAGTGAAAATGGGGAGACGGGCTAGGGGGCTTTGTAACAATACAAACAGATGTTAGGGCTGGGAAGAGGTGGAGGTAGGTTGCAGGGGGGAGGGTAACTCAGTAGTGAAGATGGTAAGCAGTGAACAATGTAAGAGATATTCTGAAGGACTTACTGATGGATTGAATAAGAGGGAAAGGTAAGAGTTGTTTATGATACACATTGTCAAAGATAAAGCAAGACACTAAAGTGGTAAGGAAAGATTTTTATCAGTAAATAAGTACTACCATAGGGAAGAGAGTCCACTGTGAACAGAACTCTGCTTGGACAGAAGTGACTGGGTGTTTTAAAGGATAATGAGGGAATGGATGAGTGAGGTCTTAGGGAAGTAAAAAATTGGGGGTGGGGGGAAGCTTAGTGTAAATACAATTAGGCCTGCTGTGTCTGCTACTTGGCAATTATGGAAGTTAAATTCTAACCTCCTACAGAGACTGGGAGACAGGGACCTATCCTTAGGTATTGGCTGGAACAAATGGTGAAAAAAGAAATTTTAAACAGCTTTAAGTTTTATCGAGCAGAAACTTTAAGAATGACTAGGGCCATATTAGGGATGTGGTCTTGAGCTATTAGAAACCATGTCTGTGTTTGTTCAAGTCTTTACAGATGAAGGTTGAGGCCTAGTCAGGAAGAGGACTCAGGAACCTGGCTAGAGTTCGGTCAAGGAGAGAACTGTCACCAATTTTCTGGTTTTAGTGATGGGGTATCATTCATAGAGATAGGGAAGTCTAGGGGACAATTAGGTTTAAAAATCTAGAGGAGACTAAATCCTATTTTGAACATGTTAAGTTTGAGACATTCAAATGGATAAGAAATTAAATATAGGAATGGGTCACATAGAAGTCTGGGCTAGAGCGATAAATCAAGAATTGTCAGCATGAGCTAATTCAAAGATCACACACATGGGAGTTAAAGTGATGGAGACTCTAGGACTTACCTAACAAATCCCTCTTTGAGATTTGGTTCTAGAAGTATGTCATCATTAGGTGTACGGGCGTATTTCTAATGGTCACAAAGTAAAATGAACAAAATAACAATCATTTTGCTGTTAAGTATTTGAAAATTTTTCTTTCGATTTGAAATCTATCTCTATTTGCTATTTCTAAATGATAGCTCCTCCCCAAATTACATTTATTGAACACCATTGTTATTACATTTTATACGTGTGGAAAACTGAACAGAGAAGAATTAAGTAACTTGCCTGAGGTGACACAAAGTTGTTAAGCGTTGGGTCCTGTTTTGAAAACTAAGCAATCTGGTTCCAGAGTCTGTGTTCTAAACCCTTATACTATATGGCAACAAGCCTATAGTAAAGTAGTTTGGTTTATTAATTTAATGGACTTTAAATGTATCATAGTTCCAATAAGCATTTTTATTGGATCTTACTATGCTCAGGTGTGCACATCTGGATCATTAAGGTTGAGGCACAGTTTGCCTGGTGGCTATGCCTCTAGGTATTACAGCCAAATTCTAGGAAGAGTAGACTGGCTTCACTAGAAAGATCCTGAAGTTTCACACTCTTTAAAGCAAATGAACACAAAATTTCAAAATGCAATTGTACAGAACAGTCAGGTTTGCTCTGCTCTGTAGCATCACACTGAAGTCCTAGTACTGGGTATCATTTGCTGTCAGAGAAATGAAGTTTTCCGTCCACAGAACATTATACATCATATTGGCACACTAGATTCACACAGTTGTCACAATACTAAAGAGTTCTTTGAACGCAGGAATTATTTCATCTCCCTTAACTATATCCTAGTAGAGTTAAAAGGGATGCTTGATATACGAGGAAGAAAGGCAAAGAGAGGGAAGAAGGAGAAAGGGGGCGAGAGGGAAAGAAAAGAAGGGAATTCAAACAGTAACACTGGACTCTTTGAGGTGAGAATGATGCTCTCCAAGTTTGTTTTTAAGTTTTTTCCTATTTATGGCGTGCAGAAACATTCTGATCCCATCTAACACACTCTAACTCTCCCTTCACTCACTTTCTGCCCTCCGGGTCCCTTCTCACTGGCCTCCCAGTCCCGCCCACTGCTCCCCCACCCGTCAGCCCGCCTGTCAAGCCACTGCGCACTGCGCCTGCGCACACAGGCTGCTCCTCCCGCGGGCCCTCGGGGCGGGGTCCCGAGAGCAGAGGGGAAGAGGAAGTTGGGGGAGGGTCCTAGCTGGGAGTGAACCGGAAGTGTAAACCCTCCTACTTCTTCTCGACCAGGCGGAACCTGTTCGGCTGGGCCCGGTGGCCGCAAGAGAACTTTCTCCCGCCCCAACGGTCTCAGTGGCCAACTGCCCCGCCCGCCTGGCAGCCTCCCCCGCCTTCTCCTCTCCGGCTCCGTGCGGCGGCCCTGTCTCCTCCTTGCCCGGCGATATCCGCTTGCTGCTGCCACCGCCACCTCGTCTTCTGCCCGGCCAGCCGGCCTGCCCCGCTGCAGTGATGTGCGACAAGGAGTTCATGTGGGCCCTGAAAAACGGAGACTTGGATGAGGTGAAAGACTATGTGGCCAAGGTAAGCGGCGACGAGTCGAGTGGAGTAGGCGAGAGCGCAGAGGTGGGATGGAGATGAGGCTGAGGAAGCTGATGAGCTGGGCTGGCGAGGGGGTGGGGCGGTGGGGGAGAGGCGTCTTGAATGGAGGTGGCACCAAGGGGAGAGGAGAGTCAGGGATCATCTGAACTGAGAGAAGGGTCCGGATACCTTGGTCGCGTCGTGTCAGGTCACTGCTGTGTTGGTACAGCCAGGCTCTTGCTTCTTGACCCATTGGGGGAGGGAAGGGGAAGGGAGGTACCGGCTCTTTTGAGTCACTTCTGAGCACTGATCCTTTGAGTTAGGCCCTCTTCTACGCCAGAGTTACTTAAATCTTTTGGGATGAAATGATTCTCCATTTTGAACCTGCCCATTAGTGAATGAGGTGACCTGAGTGATTAGAATCAGAGGAACTTTTTTTTTATTAACTGTGGGCCGTTAATGAATTTAATGTTCGTGGACCGTGAAAAAGAGTACCCAAAATAGTAATAGTTTAAAAGAAACTTAGTATCACTTCACTGCGGGATTCTTAACTTTGGGTGTGGCCTTTTTCCTCTCCCGCACTACAGCAAAAACATAACTTGCTTCAAAGTGGTAAGCTTGTCAGTTAGCATCTGGGAGTGTTTAAGTTATCTGAGTAGTTTTCAAACAAATGGTAAGTTACTTCATCTTTCTCCTTGATTCCATCTGAAATGCTTACACTTGTAATCAGTAGTAATGCAGTTTAGTCAGTATATTTGAGGATGAAATCATGAAGACAGCTGATCTCAAAACTAAACTCAGAATGTAAAACCGAATCCACATGTTTGTGGATTGGTAAAATTCCATGCTGGCCTGCTTTTGGATCCTGAAACTGCCTTTTGTAATTATGAGAGAACTTACATGTTATTTTGATATGATAAACCTAAAAAGGAATCTTCTAAAACAGAAGTATAACTTTATGACATAACCATGGAGTGCATATTGCTCACCAAAAAGTGTGAGAACCCAATCTAGATTTTAGGTCTTCAAAGTGTATGAACACCAGTATGGTGCTGTGTTTATGTTTCAGAGATCTGTGTTAGGAAGCAAAGAAGCAGAAGCAGAGTTTCTTAAAACTTGTAGGATTGTGCAAGGCAAACTAATAGTTTTTACTCTGTTTAATTCCATTACATGCAGACTTTTTGCATGCAAATTATTTGCTTAGTTGTTATTTGCAGTGGATTTTTAGGGCACTGTTCACTGCCTTCTCTGCTAGTTAACAGTCTGAAACCTGACTTACTAGATGTTTCGATGTAAGATTAAAGGGAAGAAATGACTTGCAACACTTCAATCCGTGGTACACATCCCAGTGATTGGACACAGTATGATTGGACACAGTAGTACTGGAAGTTAGTGGGCTTTTGTTTTTCTGTGATTGTGGAAACTCGAAATACGAAAAGTTGACAAATACTGAGCTTACAAAAATAACGCAATTTATGTAGTGTCTTGCCAGTACATTATTTTCTATCATCCTTTCCAGTCTTATGCAATACTTTCATTAGTCCCATAGGTACTTAAAAAAAAAATCCAAAATTACAGAGATAACAAAGGATGAAGCCAGAACTAAACTGCTGACTCTGAAACAGACTCTGACTTCTCAATGGAGTCTCTCACAATCTAACATGTAATCGTGAAAGTATACCAACATTTCTAGTAAGACATTCCCAGGTCCACATCCAGACAGAGAAATTATATGTAAAGAGTTCTCAATCATACAAAACATTCATGTAGAAATATGTGCCAAAAACAATGAATTAATTTGTTTTCACTTAGTTTTTAAGTTAGGACATTATGTTCGGTTTGATTTTGTTTTTTTATGTCACTACCGTAGTGCCTACTCTCATTAACAAAAAAAGATGTGAACGAAAACAAGGATAGACATTCAAAGAGACATGTCTCTTCCAGGCCTCTATATCAAGTTAAAGGAAGTATTGAGAACTGGTTTATCCAAAAAGGTTTGACTGTAATGTAATCCTATGAACAGATCATTGAGCTCTTTCCTTTCTTCATTTTTATTGAGTAACTTGAGCCTCTTAAAATGTCTTTTTTTAATGAAAATTAACAACAAGAAAAACAAAAGAAAAACTAGCATTCCAGTTTTTATTACTGAGCTCTCTTATTATGTCTATTCACATCTCAAGTCCTTAGAACAGTTTCTTCTGCTCAGCAGCCATCTTCCCTGCCTGTTCATTGACTCACCTTTTTCATCCAGCAATTTTTGAACTATTTCTTTGAGTTCATATAATGTGCATTTATCTAAGTAAGTGTGCACAAAGAAAGTGCATGAAGACACATTTGGACTTGTTTAGTTTTTCTTCTAAGGAGTAAGAGTCTTTAAAATATTCTAGCCTGTACTCCTATGAAGATCACTCACATTGTTAACATAAAAGAATGGACCCGTAGGTGAAGCATTTTGGTATTCTTTTTTTAAATTAATATTAAAAAATAATTGTACTTTTCTACCTGCTTCTGACTTCTGCACAGAAATCTGAAGTATGGATAGGCATCAATTATCTGTTTGGGATAAGTTTTTAAACTCTTAAAAATCAGTTCAAAGTTCCCAAACCATTGAAAATTGTATGGTTCTAAATGGAAAAAGCAGCATATAAAGAAAAATTTAGATTACTTCGTATTAAATGTTCACCTGTAACGTTAAAACAATATCTGAAATAGTTTGGCTTCTTGACTGACCTAAAGGCTATATTTAGTTAGTTTTAAAATTTTTATTGGGCACCTTTCAGGTCCCAAGCACTTTGCTAGATCTGGTACGATCGTGAAGAAGTTAGACAATGCTTGAGAAACTTAAGCATCTACATTCAGCAGACCTACGTGAAAAAGCTTTCATACTTTTAAAGTAGTATGCAAATTATAAGTAACACCTCGCAAAATTCAGTTTGTCCAATTGGAAAAGTGAAAGACAGTCAATAAGATATTCATGAGCAATGATAGTAGATATTCATAGCTTAATTTTCAAGCTGTATGCTTCCTCTGGATGACATTATTTTTGCCTTTGTCTCTTGTTTTTGCCTTGATGTTAATTTCTCCCACTGGAGTTAATTCAGCCCTCATCTGAGCTCCAGACTGCCTAATGGTTAGCTCTGTTCAGATAAATTCCAAACTGTACTCATATTTTCTTCTCTAAAACTATTTCTATTCCTGTTGCCTCCAATGCAACCCAACCATTTGCCCAAACTAGAAATTGGGGAATTTTCTACCTTCTTAGTCTCTCTCATTTACTTACTCTTCATTCTCATTGCTACTATAGATTAGTTATTGCTTCTCTCCCACCTGGACTATGTTTTCCTCGACTATAGTTTTCCCCTCCATCCTTGTCACCGTGCACATCTTAGCTGGAGGGATCACACTGTAATATGAATCCGAGCATGTTAATCTTTTCAACTAACCTCCCTCACTCCTCTTAGAATACTTTTGTGATTCTCCTTTATTTATTTTAAAAAATGGTCAACTCCTCCTTGATTTGGCATACTTGGCCATTATGATCTGGCCTGTGCCTGTCTTTCTAAACTCACCTCTCTGCCTGCGCACTCTGCTCCAGACCCTGCCATGCTGTTTCTTTCTTGTACAACTTTCCATGTGCTCTGTCATCCTCCTTGTCCAAGTCTGCTCACCTCCATCCCTAACTACCAACCTGGTGAGCTCCTATTTATCCTCTTAGCTTAAATATCTCCTCTTCCGGAAAAACATTTTGATTTCAGATGGAGTGCTGCTGCTTTTACGGTTTCACTTGTCAAATTTCTGTTTCGTTTATATTTATCAAATTATCTGTTTTTAATTAGGATCTGAGCCTCTAGAGGGTAGATGCTATATATATTTTCCATCTTGTATCCTCAGTATAGTGCCAACGAATTTCACACATTGAAAGCATACGTTCCAAATAAATTCTTTTTATTAGCTACAGTTACAATATAGTTCATTAGTTATATAAAGACATTTAGCATTGAGAGGATGGTTTCTATTGCCAGGTACTATAAAGCACTCTGTAACATTTTTACCTAAGTTTTCACTTGCTTTTTACCACGGCATTTCAATATAGATAATGGTATTCCCATTTCAAGGATGAGGAAACTGAAGCTTGGAGAAGTTAAGTAACTTAACAAGGTCACAAAGTAAGTAGCACAACTGGGATTCAAACCCAGAGCGCTCTGAATCTGCAGCCCACATATTTTTCACCGTATCAGTCAGCCTTGAAATGGTTATCTGGTTTCTTAGCTCACAGTAAGCTAGAATCAGCACGTGGAGAAAATGAGAAAAGAGCTGGTAAGAGACAGGGACAAGTTATCTCTGATTATGAATAAAGAATAGAAAAAATGGCTACAATTTTTAAAAATAATGTAACAATTTGAAAATAGCATAGAGACAACAGCTCTATAAACTAAATCTCATCAGAGGCTATCTTGATTCAAAGTGTGTCCATAAAGAGACTATTCGATAGCTTATGGAAACTTCTTTGTATTTATAGTCCCACATAATCTTATGTTGTAATTAATGTTTGTAATTATGATCCTGTGTAGCACAGAAAAAGTCAAATTGTGTCCGTTTGCCTTAGGAAGAAACAAAAGTATTGTGATTTCTGTTCAGAATGGTTTAAATTAAATAGCACTTTTTTTCCATACAGTATGCTCTCAAAATTTTATGTGTTTGAGCTCTGTGATGCTGTGTACAGGTATAACATCACTTATCGCATCAACCCATAAGCATAAGCTAATTTTAGAGATTTTAGAGATGAAGAGACCAAAGCAAAGGTTAAATAACTTGCCGAGGTCATGAGGCCCTTGAATAGTGAGTAGTGAGGCTGAGATTTTAACCCGGTCTGTGACTTCAAAGCCCCTGCTATTACACTTCATACCATTCATCCTTATTACTCAATAATGCTACATAACTCAGGGGATACTATATTATTGAGTATATAAGTGTGAAAAATAATGACATCTGGATGGAATTTA